TATTTACATGAAATTATTCATATACAAAATAGTTATTTATGTAACAAGTGTGTAAAGTTACTCTTTTTTGACAATCAGATGAGTCAAAAAAAAAAGAATTTACACACGAGTTGCATACAATACTTTTTCTACTACGGTAAACTTTATCCACTAATATTAGAAATATAAATTTTTTTTTTCACTAAAATAACTTTTTTTTACCTTACGCACTAGTGAAAAAAGTACAACTTTACGCACGGTAGTAAAAATAAATTGTTTATATAGGTATATATTCGACCCACAACGCTCTACTGCTGAGAGCACTCGTTAGTTCTTGAATTTTGATATAGGAACCTGAACCCTTGAAGGGATTAATTACAGGGTTTTGAAAGTTTTAATTCAAAATTAATTTTTTTTTTTTCATATTTGTTTTACCAATATGCGAACTAATAAAAATTTTACTCGAACCTACCTACTAGAATAGAATTTAGAATATTGAGAAGTTACAAATTATCTAAGTACATGCAGACTTTTGTTTACAAGCATATTTCTATGACACCGTTAATTTTAGCTCCATAAAAGGTTATATATTTTTTAAACTAAAATTGAACACATAATTTAAAAAATAATAAAAAAAATATAAAAATATATTTGTTCCAGTAGCGTAAAAATAAGGAATAAAACTAAGAATGTAGGCTTTCACGGCCGGCGCGCGGCGTCAATGTAATTATTTGTTTCCGGGCTGTTATGCCGTGGTCTTTCTTGGTTTTTACTACCAAACGTTTCAGCTGCAATTGCGGCAGCCATCTTCAGTGGCGTGGACGAAGTATTCTTCTTGTCGTATCAACTGCAATTGAATCCTCCTTTGTTCAGAGTGTAAAATTTTATATGCGTGTCTGCGAGCTATTATTTAGCGGTATTGGTATTAGGTGGTTTTATTTTCGCGCTTTTTAATGACGTGTGCCAGATCCTAGGTAGGTAATGTTGTTTCTTCCTTTCTATTGAGGTTTTTTTCATGTTTGTGTATTTCTATAGCCTCTAAGTGTAGTCTGGTCGAGTAATGTTTCCGCAATGTAAGTGCAAATGATTTCGTAATTTTGTCGTTAATTTTATCAACACCTTCAGCAGATTTTAAGGTCGTTTTCTGGAGAGTGGAGATTATCTATTCTGGAGTTAGGATCAGTATTAGTTTGATATACATTCATCAAATATTTATTTGCAAAACCTAACATTTTCGTTTGCTAAATTTTTACTTTCCTGTCTTTATCCAGATAAAGAAAGTATAGGGATTACGATTTCTTTGACTTCTAGTTTTTGACGAATATTTTTGGGGTCCCCTGAATTCATTTTGACTATTTTGCGCGATGATGTTTGTATCTACGATATCTCAAAAACAAATAAAGAGAATAACACCAAATTTTAAAATCGAGCTTTTATCTACCCTGTGATGAGTTGATTAAATTTTGAGCATAGTCGGAACACCTGGGGGTACCTTATAGAGGGTATTTTTTCTACTTTATGGAAAATATCTGTTATTTATGTTTAGAGAAGAAAACTCTTTAAATAAAAGTTGTGGGCGATGTCTCTAATTCTTGTGCCATACATGATTTTCCCAAAATTGACCGTATTCGAGAAATTTAAGAAAATGTGTAAATTTAGAATTTTGAAAATAAATCAAAAACAGATAAGGAAAAAACACCAAATTTTGAATACTAATTACTCCATCCTGCCGTCAATTAAATTTTGGGCATATTTAATGCATCTGGGGGAGAGGATATTTTATAGGGTGTCATTTTTTTTACCTGTCTTATTTACAATTAGAGGAGAAATTTCTTTAAATAACAATTGTTTGTGATAACATTCTCTATAACTTCTGTTTCAAAAATTATTTCTCTAAAATGGACCGTATTGGAAAATTGGAGCATATGTGTAAAATTTAAATTTTTTAGTATTTTCGTATGATATATGTGGAAAATGTATGTACGTAGTTCATCGTCTAAACATTTACTGGGGTGATACAATAGGTTGCACACAATGACCGTAAAAAGCCTGCAATAACTAGACAGGAAAGTCATCAGACTGTTTTCAATATTTATTAATTTATTTTTAATTTGTTATCGGTTTTTATTTGTATATTCCAGATTTATTTTATCCGATTACTGGCTATTTTGGACTCGTAGCTGGTCTTAAATATTTTTCTGTTATAATATGGTATTTTTTTTTATAGCGTTTAATATAATTTGGGTTATATACCAATAACAATTACCACTAAGTATCCCTATCCATACATACCTAATATTTGTTATTACAGTACATGTTTTTTAGGGATTTCAGGAACCTTTAAATTAGGTTTAGAATTAGAAATTTTGTAAAAATTGACTTTTGGCCGTTGTTAACCAATCTTGTATAATATAATGTAATAAACTTGTTCTTGTAGCTACGTTTTTGTCTATTATCGACTCCAAATCATCTGCAAAAATCATCAAGAACTGTCAATCCAATTTTAAGTTATAGCATTTTAAACATTCTGCTACCCAAATTTCATGTTTAGCAGTGTGTACAAGGCCTAAGAGCCTTTATTCAAAAACTGACAAAAACATCTAGAGATATTGATGTTACCTTAGTAACGAACCATATTGCAACGACCAAAAAAATTGTTTGCGGAAATTTCAGTCATACAAACTTTTTGATTTTTTGCATGACTTCAGTGATCACCCCCGTATATAATAAACCTATGGTCCTACGATAAATATGCGTCATGCAGCTTAATCCGAAACAAACTAGCTCTTAAAATCTACAAGCCGCGTTCAAAAATTTGCATTCCTATTGAAAATATTGAACCTTAAATTTTGCCTAAAAATCTCTATACGTGTGTCTTTTTATCCAACTGTTGCAGCAACGTTGGCATCGGTGCGGTATGTCAACTGTCAATTTATTTCAACGGTCAACCAGAATCCAACACAAAACGTTCAAGGCCGCATCGGTGAAACAACGGTTGCAACAAACCGGTGGAAAAAAAGACACACGTTATGTGTAAGTTCGAGTGGCCAGCAGTATATTTTGTCCCTCGTGTATTTGTCTAGGGACAACTTGCGAAATTGTTTCGTGCCAAAATGGGTCGGATCCTAAAATGTAAGAGAAACGGAGCTACACTTCAAACATTCTCTACATAGGCGGCGTTGGAACAGTATTTGTTACTCATTATTTTAATGAATTTTATTAATTAAAAACATATCCTGTTCGTTACGCGCTATTTTGTCCTGTGCTATTTTGTCTGCGCTATTTTGTTCTGAACCATTTTGTTCTTTACGGATTCATGATAAAACAGCGCCGGACAAAATGGCGCTTGACTAAAGAGCGCAGACAAAATAGCGCAGTCAAATAGGGCAAGGACAAAATAGCGCAGGACAAAATAAGATATGACAAAATGACGAAAGGATAAAATAACACGTACCGAACAATATATGTTTTTTAATTAATGAAATTCATTGAAATAATGCCGTAACAAATACTATTCCGATGACTCCTATGTAAAAAATGTTTGAAGTATAGCTTCGTCTCTCTCACATTTTAGGATCCGATCCATTTTAGCGCGGGATAAATTTGTTGTAAAAAATTGGCGCCGAGAAATACATAAGAGACAAGTTAGCGTCTTACATAAATAAAGTGAATAAAGTGATCAATTAACGCCTAGTTCAATTATAGTAAGCTCTTTCAAAAAAACAGTGAAACAAATTAACGCGTGATAAAATGTACCAGTATTCTAATTAGAATTAAAAAAGCTTAAATTAATTTACCCAACCTGTGTAGCCTGGAGCCGTGGCGGGTTGCTGTATATGACTCCAGGCCGCACAGGTTAGGTAAATTAGTTACAATTTCTCATTTTGTCTTTTTTTAAAGCAACCTGCGATGGCTTCAGCCCGTCCAGGTTAGTTTTTTTTTAATTTAAATTAGAATACAGGAATATATTGATGTGGTTTCCTGATTGGTCATGGGGATCAGGAAAGATATCGCCCAGTGTATGTCAAGGTGTAGTTGTGACGTATTGATTAGAAAATAAAAAAAATGTTTTTTTTTTTGTTATGTTGTTATGGAATTGTGATTTTTTTTTGGGGAGCGAGTTGGGAACGACCGAAGGGTGAGGTATTGAGAGTTGATCCTTTTGGATTGAATATTATTTTTTTTGAAAATTGGTTTTTCTCTTTATATAAAGAGGAACCACTGAATTTAAAAAGAATAAAAAAAAAATCACAAAGTCCAGAATCTGATGTATTCATTCTGGAAATAAACACACATATTTGTAAATGGAGTATCATTTCGTTGGGATACAGAGGTAGTTCCAAGACACGAGCACAGCGGTTGGTAATATCCAAAGAGGAAGAAAAGAAAAGATAAGTAATTTATTCATTGACTAAATAGAGGTATTTTGGAAAGTCTAAGTGACATTAAGACAATATTTTGACACTATAAGTTTATTGAAATTAACAGACAGTAGCGTGACACAAACCAGAGGTAAAGGGGAGAAAGCAGAGAAGCTGACGAATATTACTATTTCAGAAAGAAGGGGGTTGTGAAGAGTTGCAGTTCGTCAATAGCTGTTCGGGAAAATTAATTGTGTATAAAATTTATTAATTGATTGGACAATTTTTTTTAGATAAAAGAAACACACCTTCTGGAGAAATTTTTCCAGGTGCTCTGGCTAGTCGGGGATTAAATCCATATCAATATTGACATTTGCTTTTATGTCCAGCGCTATTTTGACCTGCGCTATTTTGTTCTTGTGCTATTCTGTCTTGCGCTATTTTGTCCTTAGGCTATTTTATCCTTGCGCTATTTTGCCCTGCGAAATTTGGTCCTGTATCATTTTGTTAGCGCTATTTTACCTATACCATTATAGCCATTATAGCTTTAAGTATAAGTTCATATTAAATTAAACAGTGTTTGGTGATTATTTCTTTATGTTAAATAGTTAACCGTATGCTAAGTTGAATGATTATTAAATCTATCATATTATATCTTACCTCTTTATTTCTAAGTTGAACTACGGCTTCGTGTCCCAAAGCAAACCTGGTGCTGGATTTGCTGTGTGGTCCTGCGCTGCTATATTCTACAGCAGGATGGTAACCCCAGTCATCTGCGAAGTACTGGACGTCTGTTTTTGCATTTTTGTTTTCAACAAAATACCTGAAAATACAACAAGCAGGTATCAAGAGTTCAAAGGAAGATTTGAATTTCCAGTACAAAAAAATGGAAATTCACTACAAATAAATATTAAAAGTGAATGACTAGATTCTAAATATAGAACCAACCAAATACCTAATAAAATTAATACCTTCCAGACGCATAAATGCCATCCCGTTGTTCTTGTTTTCCCTGGTGTCCACCTTTATCGCCAACTATGTCGTACCCATATTCGTATTTTGGGGGGTTCTAAAAAGAAATGTACTTTAATTATTAGAATTAGATACTGAATAATAACTAACATAATATAATTCAAATATCCTTGTACTGAATAAATGATAATAAAACAATTTCAGACTGCAAAATGTCTTCAAAAATATGATAGTATGGTTCCTTGTGGTATTCCACATTGAATACTACAGATAATAAAGTTTTATCAACAATGTTTAAATTAAATTATCAATTTGGTAATAGATCTGTAAGTGAAAAAGGATTGGTTGCTCTACAGCACTTAGACCTCATTAGGATAAATGTGTATCTTCCAGGGACATATAAGACGTGCCTCTCAACTTGTCAAAAGCCTGCTGGTTGTCGCTGAAAAGTGTCTAGAGAAAGTCATTTTCTCAGCTCATCAATGTCCTGGAGGTTATCAGCTTGTCAAAAACCTGCTGGTTGTCGCTAGGGGGTATCTAAAGACAGCTATCTTTCCAGTTCATCAAAGTCTTGCAGGTTCTAAACTCATCAGAAGTTGTCACTTGGAGGTGTCTATGGACAGCCAGCCTCTCAGAGTAGGTCAGTAACATCACCGAGAGGATGCCTTATTTTGGAAAGTAGGTATTTGGTGGGCTTCTACCACCCCGATGGTAAATGCCCCGATTGAAGCCATTCCAAACTCAAATGTGACTGAGATTTAAAATGTATTTTACATCTCAGTCACATTTGAGCTTGGAAATATTTCTTTTTTTAAAAATAGCTTGCCACCTAGTTTTTGAACTAGGTACTCCAGCGATTTTGCCTACTAAGTATAGATGGCGATACCATTGTAGCTCGATGAATATCTACTCATGCTCAACCCGCTGTAATTGAGTTCGATCGAAATTGGTATTGTAAATCAGACTCCATTAGAGACTGGAGTCAAGAATTTCTTTTTTTTGCTGAAGACTCCTAATAAAGATGAAACCGGTCCAAGAATGACTTTCCACTTAGTGGGCAAAATTAAAGGTAGAGTGTTGAAAATATTTTTTACCTCTGCTATTTTTTTTCGACGTAATTCAATACCTGGTGAGGTATTAGCCAAAGGAGTAGTTGTTGTCAAAAGATAAACGGCCGCACATATATGTTTGTGACTATGGCTTTGAGTATTATTTGTTATATTTTAATAAAAATTGACGCTAATTTATTAAGATCGAGTTATATTTAATAAGATTAATTTAAGAGCTTAAATATATAAATACACAATAAAAAAACTTTTTAAAATAATTTTTTTTTCGATTGCTTTTTTAAACGTTTCATGAGATATTAGCCTCATAAAATTAATATTTCACAGTAGTCGTTATTAAATATTAGACCTTTAATCAAGCATGCAAGTTACTGTCAACATCGGTGAATATCAAGCATTATGCACGGATAGTCGATACGAGTGAAAATAGTCGATTTATTTGGTTCTGATTAGATCTAACGATAACGTAAAATGCAAGGTTAAAATGTCAAAGTTAATAGGCAAATGAAATAATCAATTTTGTCATCTAAAGTGAGTACTTATTAATTGTATAATTCAACAAGACGATCCCAAGGGTCGTACTCGTGATATTTTATTCCCGAAAAGCAGGCAGAAATAAACCTTCATTAATTATAAGTTTTGTGGAATGAACCAATTCAATTTTAACGTCATTTCAGTTTTTGGATAATTTTCTGTCAAAATAAAAAAAAATACAACTCAAATATCTCGTATACGTAAAATTAAGTAAAGAAATGTTTTTTCTCAAAGACACAACTAATACGGGCGTAATACGAGTGACAGTTTTCCTCTGGAAAACATCGACTCCTTTGGCTAATTCTGCAACAGGCATTGAGTTATAACAAAACATCAAAAAGGATAACGTCATCAGCATAAATAGATATTCTCGATTTAAATATATATAATGGAATTTGTAGACGCATTAAATTTACTTTTACACATGAATAGTGGATGTGGGAGACTAAGAAATCATAAAGTAACGCCATTTACACTTAGTTAACCAAAGCTCGTTTGTAGTACCTAGTTGAAATTCTAGATGGTTAAAAGCCAGGCAGTTAATTTGTTATTATATCTACTACAGATTCCATTAGAAATTGGAATTGTGAATGTCTCTTTCTTGCTGATGAGTCTTAAGTAAGGATGATATCGGTCCAATAATGACGTTCTACATAGTAACCAAAATAAAAGGTAGAGTATTGAAAATATAATTCTCTCTGCTGTTTTCCTTTGATTATAACTTAATTCCTGTTGCGGTATTAGTCAAAAGAGTAGTCGTTTTCCTGCTATTAGTTGTGATATATATGGCTTCTAGTATTTATTTTCTGTATGTTCCTTAATTGCCTATTTTATAAAAATTTTAAAAACGTCGTAGTTTAAAAAGTTAATTATGAAAATATATTAAAACTTTTTACGGTCGTAGTTTATTCAAAGTTAATTGTAAGAAAAATAAAAATAAAATATTACAAATGCGGAGCTTAGTTAATTAATTTTATATTTTTACTTTTCGCCATTATAATCTCACGAATACAACTCTTGAGTAATTGATTCGAATTAAATTTCCTTACTAATATAAACGGATTGCACTTATTTGTCACCGGTACAAATATAAACTTTATACAGCAGATCATGAATTTTATTGGAATGAAGAATCATTTTGAAAACAAGAAGCACATAGTAAAGAAAATCTAGTTTAAAAATAATAAATGATAAAAGCTTTTATAAACAAGCGCATTCAATTCTAATATCTTATCTAACTGGTAAACTAATATAGTGTCACACGATTGTTGTGCATTACTTATCTATTATTGGTACCTAATAATTAGAAAATAAATTACCACCTATAGAGATCGTAAATAATTAGAACAATTACAATAATTATTTTATAAGAAATTACTCGTAAATACAGATTAATGATCAAAAATCAAAAAAATTGCAAGTGATTAAAAGTACTTATATAATTAAACTTAGTTTCTTAAAGATTTTATTGTTTAAAAATTTGTTGCATTTCGATTTATCACAGTAATTTACTTTCGTAAACATGGAAACGTCTTCATAATTTTTATGTAGTGTCTGAATAAAAGAGTGCAGTAAAAGTGGGGATATAACGTCACATTCCATAGGCGTACTTTGCAAATTAAGTTTCAATAATATAAATAAGGCCCCGGCATATAAAATGGTATCTTAGATTAAATTTTGAATGAAAAAAGTTGTATTATTTACAAAAAAATAAAAATAAATCTTCTGACAAAATTGTTTCACTAAAACTACTGGTATCATTATCTTGTCTTGAACTTGTACTATGTTGTGCAAGTTAAATTACTGCACTCCATTCTTCTCTAGACCAGTGATTCTCAAACTTTTTTGGTGAGCGAAACTTTTTGAAAAGTGAAATATTTGACGGAGCCCTAAACACATTTCGGAAAAAAAGCCCTCCTTGCTTTAGCCTCTTGCCAGGCCCCTCCCGTTTCTTTGCGGAGCCCCTACAACAAAATTCCCAAAATCATATACGCCTTCGTCTTCTTGACTTCTAAAAAACAACCGAAAATACCAGCATATACACCTTCCTCTTCCTAACTTCTAAAAAAAAGGTCCTCTAACCTGAAATAACAAAACTCATTTACTCTTTCTAACAAAAACAAAAGATTAAACTGTCAAACAATTAATACAGTTTGGATTTCGAACATAAAAATGACAATGACACTCCAATTAAGATGAAATATACTGCAATGTCAAATAATGTTACAGGCGAGAAGCAAAATTATTGTAAGAGAAAATATTAAATATTTGATATGAAATCAAAGTTAAACAGATTTCTTCAACATCAAAAAATTGTCTGTTGACGTTGTAAAATTATACCTAGTTTATGCAACAAGATTAGATATGTTGGCCATACCGACCAGAGCCATGGAAGTCATTCTTAGTCTCACTCCCCTTGATATTTACATCAAGGAGATTGCTCTGACGACAATGACATGCCTCCGCATGGTTAGAATAGAACCTGATGTAGGATCTGGTGAGGCGAGACGTCGCTTTTGGCAGGAGGCGCTCGATACGCTCGCACTGCTTCAAGCAAACATGGACTTCATCTCATCGAGACATATCTTCCATAAGCCATATAAAGTTATAATCGAACAAATAGAAGAGCCAGAAGTGGCAGGTACGATTTATATCTACACCGACGGTTCTAAAACAAAACAAGGCTCAGGATGTGTAATATACTCCAGATTCGTAAACCTTAACATAAAATGGGCTGTAAGCAATAGTGCCAGTGTAGTTCAAACAGAGCTAACGGGGATTTTCATAGCAGCAAAAGAAATAACCAGAAACAATATTACTGAAAGGAACATGCTCATCTATATAGATAGCAGACAAGCACAACTCATCCTGAACAGACCACGAATTTACTCAGGGTTAGTACTAGAATGTCACGAAGCTTTGGCCGAAGTATCCATCAATAATGTGGTCACCTTAAGATGGATTAAAGATCACACTTTAACATACTTTCATTTCTTCTGTTACTTTTACTTTATACCTATCCTTCCACTCCTTACCGGTTGCGGAAAAATTGTCTATTATTCACCTCCTTTTTTTAATAATTTAAAAGTAAAATTTCATTGCCATAAAAAATAAATTCTATTAAGAGAAGAAAATTTAAATACTTAAACTTCGAAGGTTTAAGTACTACCCTTCATTTGGTCAGAATAACCTTTGTATAACTTATAAATCTTATAATTATTATTATTTAAGCACTGATGATGGCTAATAGTGGACAAAACTGGCCTCTCTATCTATCAACTTGTTTAATAAGATTCTGTGTTAGACCGTCCGTAAAATTTAGTAAATTGTATAATCTAAAACCAATTAAATTAACTCTAACAAATATTAATTTGGACTATCGTAATTTTACTACTTTTAATAAAACCCTAATTATGAACAAAAAAATATACTAAAAAATAACAAAAATAATGCTAAATATATTGTACTTTTAGGAGCTTAAAAAAAAATTAAATCT